GGCCTCTCCCGGTAATAACAGTTATGTGGGTACGTAGAAGAAGCATAGCAAAAGGATTAGGCAAGTTGCCCAAAAATGTGGCGCATTTTTCAGTATTTTTCTCAGGAAAAAATAGAAAATGATACGGGATGAGTATCAGAAGCACCAGTAAGAATGAACTTCAAGTATTGCATCTTCAACAAGAACTGTTCCAGAAAGTTTGTCAGTTAATAAAAATATTGCTTATGGCATGTGTGAGATATAAAAGTAAAATAAATATATATATTTATATATAAAGGGAGACAGAGAAATAATCAGATGAACAGAAATATTTCGGTCCATTAAGTCGTATACGTCCCTACTCCATCATTATAACTGAACCTCGTCAGTACGACGGTTGTGGTACTAATACACGCATACGGGGTAATAGATAAGGAGGTGTTAGGTAGAATGTTAAATGATGCGTAAAAATTTCTATAGAGGGATAATATCTTGGGAAAAATGATAAAAGAATAAAAAAGAATAAAGAGCGAGCGCCTTGATTCATAGAGGAGCACTGCCTACTATTGATCCTAAGCATCTTTCGTGGGGAAATTTTTGTAATATAAATATACAAAAATAAACAAGCAATGTATATATAAACATACATAAATATATAAATACATACATACATACATACACACTTACATACATTCATAATTGAATACTTGAATCATCGATGTTCGTTGTCACGCTATCGATGCAACTCGCAATTTCTCCACTTAACCCGTATTTGAGCATACAAGCATATATATACATATATATGCATTTATAATGATTGGAAAGTGCGTAACAATGAAATGATAGCTGATCAAAGTACCAAAATAAATTGTTAGCACTTATCGTTGGATGTTGCGATTTTTCGCATACGCATTCACCGATCAGTGGAAAAGACTTACTTTTTCCAATAACTTTTTCTTCTTCAGCAGCAAAGATGTTGATGTTTGCGAGGGCTGAGTGTTTTCGGGCACAATCGCCTGAACCGATTCCTCCTCTTCAGGAACAACCAAACTGTCCGATAGATCTTCCATTGCAACAAAGTCGCTAGTAATGCAGTCAAACAAAATGCTGAAATGAACAT